AACAACAACAACAACTAAACAACAACAACAACAACAACAACAACAACAACAACAACAACAACAACAACAACAACAACAACAACAACAACAACAACAACGTAAGCAACAACAACAACAACAACGTAAGCAACAACAACAACAACTTAAGCAACAACAACAACAACAACAACTTAAGCAACAACAACAACAACTTAAACAACAACAACAACACTACCACCACCACCACTATCAAGAGACTGACCGCAGAGGAGGGTGAGGGCGGCGGCGGGCGGAGATGCGGACCAGCGCACCAGCGATTCAATGTCAGCAGTCGCAAGGGCAGCGAGCGATGACACGTGGGGCGACGAGTGGCTGGTGATTGGTGATTGGTTGGTTGGTGGTTAGTTGGTTGGTGGTTAGTTGGTTGGTTGGTGATTGCGTTCACTGAAGATGGCAGCACCACAGATGAGTGAACGTAGCAGGAAGACTACAACACACACACACACACGCACACGCACACACACAAACACACACCAACAAACAAACACACACACACACAGACAGACAGACACACACAGACAGGCAGACACAATACCTCCAGAGGGCGGAGACGAATGCGTCGTGCGCCGACAGCTGCGTCAGCATCTGCGTGAGCCTGAAGCAGTCAAGAGGAGAAGAACAAGGTGACGTTTCGATAAATGAGAACATGCGAACCAACGAGCAGAACACAGGTACACACACAGACACACACAGACACACACATAGACACAGACACAAACAGGCAATCACACAGACACAGACACAGACACACAGACACAGACACACAGACAACACTGTACGTACTTTGCCTTGACCTCCGGCTGTGTGCTGGAGCGGAGGAGGGACACGAGCTGCGTGTAGACGGAGACGACGACGGCGGCGCGATCAAACCCGCCACCACTCGACTCTTTCTTCCTCGCCACCGCACCCTGATGCTGCTGGTGCTGTTGTTTAGCACTGTGAGTTGTGCCTTCTTCGGGTTTGGCTGCTTCCACTTTGCCTTCTCCTCCTCGTTCCTCCTGCTCGTCAGCACCGTCACCATCATCCTTGCTCACATCCATCGTGCCACCACCACCACCACCACCTTGCTGCTGCTGCTGCTGCTGTCGCTGCTGCAGGAATGCGACGAGGGTGCGAAGAATGGCCGTGTCGGAGAACACGTGCAGCACCCGGTCAAACACGGCCGCCGCACGCACGCGCACAGACATCGGCGATGGTGATGGCGGTGGCGGTGGGGACGAGGCGCGTGCTGCTGTTGCTGACGAGGCGCGTGCTGCTGTTGCTGACGAGGCGCGTGCTGCTGATGCTGACGAGGCGCGTGCGGCTGATGCTGTAGTCGTTGGGGCGGCTTCACGCTGCGTGTCATCTTGTGTGGTGTCCATCACTGCATCGTCATCATCGTCGGCGTTGTCGTCGTTGTCATCATCATCAGTGGCGTGTGCCCATGCGGAGAGGATGTGCGGGTGGAGGGCAGACAGACACGATCCGCTCGCCGCCGCATACGCAGCAAACGCATCCGCAGTCACGTGCTCCCCTGCACAGCCGTTGGTGCAGGCGTGGTGGCGTGGTGGCGTGGTGGTGGTGGTGTGTGTGTGTGAGTGGTGGTGTGGTGGTGGTAGCGCCAAATATGGTAAACGCAAAAGGGGACACATCAACGAGACAAAGCAAAGAGCATCGCGTTCACCACAGCGTTGTGCGCACGTTTTGCTTCGACGGCGTGTGTAAGGTTTTCGCACAGCGCCAGCATCTTTGCGGGCGGCAGTGACGTGGGCCTGGGCACGAGGGCATGATGGTGGTGGTGGTGGTGGTGGCGGTAAATATACGAGACAAAGACACTGAAGAGCAAAGCAGTATCAAAGGCGTACACATGGTGCAAGATACAACGCGCGCGCGCACACACACACACACAATTTGCTTACATGTCGATTGGATCGACGCGTTCGAGTGTGTGGAGAATCAGTCCGCACAGGATGGGGTGATGCGACAGGCTGGCAATATGATGGAGATGGTGATGGTGATGGCACAGTGACGCGTGGAGTGAGACAGTGGACACGGTTCAATACAACACACACACACACACACACACACACACACACACACACACACACACACACACACACACACAGCAGCAGCAGCAGCAGCAGCAGCAGCAGCAGCAGCAGCAGCAGCATGGATGAGCATGCGCATGCCTGCAAGCAACCTTTGTGGGAGGTCCTGCGTGAGGAGGCGGTGGAAGAAGAGGCGGGTGGTGTCGCTGCCAGCGCTGCTGTAGGAGGAATGATGATGCAATCGGAAGTTTGGGCATGTGAGCTGGACAAGACAAATACACACACTACACCCAGGTAGAGGGTCATACACATGTACACAGGCAAACAAACAGACAGACACACAGACACATACACAGACACAGACACACGCACACACACACACACACACACACACACACACACACACACACACACACACACACACACACACACACACACACACACACACACAAGCACGCCGTCGTGTTCACGTTGAGTTTGCGTACCACACAGCGGTTGCGGGTGGTGTCATCCTGCCTGCCACGGGAACCGAGAAACGCAATCAGCAGCAGCGCGCGCTGCACAGCTGTGTCATCATCCAGCTGCCACACCAAAGGACAAGAATCGAGTTTCAAGATAGTCAGCATGATTGATTAGGCATCGGCAGGCAACCCACCGCAAGTTGCAACCCGCCCATGCTCAAGTTCGGCCTGCACTACACAAGCACACACGGCCAACGCGCGTACCTTTGACTCCAGAAGACTGTCGAGCTCGCGCTGCAGATCCTGCCGCTGTGTTTGGAACAGGAATACATGCAATGAAGGTTGTCGTTGTTGATTCGTGAGGCACTCAAGGCACAGACAGCATCCACACCAAATGTAAACACGAGAAACGGCTTGCTTACCTCTTGAAGGCAGGCGTAGCGTTGACGCCACCATTCCTGCAGGCGCTCTGCTGCTTCCTTTTGCTTTCGCTCCCGCTATCAGCACACCACACACAGTGCACACGTTAGCGCATTGCGACGAGCAATTGCAACGAATGAAGAACACCTGGTGTCGCCACAACAGTTCCAGCTTGCGCCGCGGTAGGTGCTGTAACCGCCACAATCACGCAAACCCCTCATTCCCCCCTCCCCCCTTTCTCTCGCTTCGCTCCAACCGCACCTGGCGTGCTTGTCTGGCTTGTCGAGCATCGCTGGCAGACTGTTGCTGCTGTCTGCGTCCACCCAGCGACACCACCTTGCGCTTCTTGTGGTCGCCAGTGAAGAACATGATGGCTGCTCGGTTCGTTGTTGCGTGGATATCGGTGGTGAGTGAGTGGTCGGTGTGTGTCAGCAAATCCGCCGCCGAAGAAAAAAAAACCGGCTTGCTGTTTAGCGACTTCAACCCGTGCATTCTGAAAATCTTGGTGCGTGGTTTGATGACTCATGCGCGCGCACACACACACACTCTCTCTCTCTGCACACGCACACACACACACACACACTCTCTTTCTCACTCTCTCACTCACACAGACAGATACAGACACAGATACACACACAGACACACACGCTCTCTCTTGTTGATGCGCAATGTGGCATGACAGCAGCAGGATGGTTCATATAGGAAGTGGGGGCATCAAAAACACAGGACACACACGTGCATGAAAACATGCACACGCGCCGCGAACAAGAACCAAGACAGACAACAGAGGACGACAGCAGCAGTCAAAAGGAGGTGGCCGCGCGCGTGTGTGTGTGTCGCGTAACGCTTGGCACTGGCAGTGCTCAGGGTAAAGCAGAGTGAACGAGCAAACAAGGCAGAGGATGGACGAAGAAGTCATACATGCAAGCGGAGTGAGGGGTTGACAGCAACACAAAGCAGGTGGGGCGAGTACAACAACACGCAAGTAAGGCAAAGGGGTACCAACAACTTGCACGTGAAGAAGGCAAGAAAGGAGAGGGGAGAACGGAGAGGAGAGAGACGGCGGAGGAGTGTGTGTGTGTGTGTGTGTTGATTGTCTGGGGAAGCATGAGACCCCCCTGAGACGACAGGCCATCCACAAACGAATGACAACAACGAACGCGGAGAAGAACAGCGAAAACCGTGGCAACAAGCACAAGCGTCGTGTCATCACTCGCTGTATGCGGGCGGGGCCTGGTGTCCCATGAGCGGGGCCTTGTCTGATGCGGTGGGCTGCTGCGTGATGGTGCGCGGCGCCTGGCCATAGTCGACGGCCGTCGGGTGCAGCGTCAGCTCGTGGTGCGTCTGCGCCTGCATGCACGCCTGCACCATGCCTGTGTGTGTGTGTGTGTGTGTGTGTGTGAACGAGGCGGAAGGGGGAAGGGCTGGTGTTCAAAGCACTGTGCAGATGATGCACAGACACACATAACAGACAGGCAGACACCCCCGCCTCCACACACACACGCACAAGCAACAGTACACAAACTGACAGTAGACGAGGTCTGCAAAGAGGTCGAGGAGGTGGGCGAGGTGGCGCAGCTCGCGGAAGAAGATGGCCAGGATGTGGCACACAAACGACAGAATCTGCACGCAGTTGTTGAACCGCTGTGCGCATGAACAGACAGGGGGGCGGAAGGAGAGAGAGAGAGAGAGGGGGGGGGGAGGGAGGGGAGGGTTGAGGAGTGTGAGGTGAGGTTCACGTGCAAGTGGAGGCATGTGGCGCGTGTGCGTGGGTGCATCATGGGGTGTGTATGCGTGTGGATGCATGTGGCGCGTTTGCTAGTGTGCATGCATCTGTGGTGGTGATGTGTGACTTACAATGATGCGGTTGTCGCCTGCGTGTGTCGATCGGTGATGATGATGGAGATGGACGTATGCCGAGGAAAAGGCAAGAGCGAGCAATGCATGTCAGCAACAGGAGATGGCGACGGACAGAGAGAGAGAGAGAGAGAGACAGAGAGACAGAGAGAGAGAGAGAGGCACGCAAGCAGGTACTTGGAAACGCAAGGAGCGTGCACACACGAGAAAGTATCGGGGCGTACACAGACACACAGCCACAGCCACACAAACACAGTCACATTCACAGACACACACACACATGCACACAAGCATAAGCACAACAAAGTACACACATGGGTCAGTCATGATCTGGCGCTGGTCCTGGATGTAGAAGCGCGTGGAGGAGATGGCAAAGTTCTCACACAGCGTGACCTCAAGACACAGACAAAACTCCGGGCACGAGTCCTGGCCAGGGATGCTGGTGGAGTAAAGGTGGGGTGACGTATTGCAGTGAGAGGAAGAGGAAGAGAGGGAGAGTGAGAGTATTTGTTGCCACAAATAATGACGCCACACACACACGCACACGCACACACGCGCGCAAACGCACAGACAGACATACGCACCATTTGGACGTGCACGTTGGGCAGAGGTAGCCCTGGCAGCAAGAGTAGTTTTCCATGCGGCCCTCGAGGGCGAGCACACGAAGGTGGTACGCAAAGCAGCACGGGCAGAACATGGCCAGGAAGCAGCCTGGTAGAAGAAAGACGAGTGAGAAGGAGGAGAGGAAGGCGAAGGAAGTGAGAGGTGCGGCGTTCATTGAGCTGTGCTTGCATCCAGGCAAAAGAAAGACACACATACAGAGAGGCAAGGACAGACAGAGAGAGAGGGAGAAAGACGCACAGACAAACAGAGCATGCACACATACACACATACACACACACATACACACACACACACATACACACACACACACAGGCACACACACACACACAGGCACACACACACACACACACACACACACACACACACACACACACACCCTATAGGACATATTAGACATAACCGATGACTGAACCGACTAAAAAAGACGTGGATAATTCAGTAGACAATACTACTATTGGTAATTCAGACGGATCAACCTCGTCTGGGGAACACATGAGGCAACTCGATTTACGGACAGTATAAAATGCCAGGAACGGCCCCCGTTGATATTTTTTATCCACTGGTAACCCGGGAGGGGCTGCGCAGCTTGACGGTCGTTAACGGGAAATGTCTGGACACACACACACACACACACAGGCACACACACAGACGGAGAGACAGGGAGAAAGACACACAAACTCCCCCCCCCCAAACACACACACGCACTCTCGTACCCTTGCAGTTGTTGCAGGGGGCGTCCATCATGGAGGTCTCCCATTGTCGGCCCTGGAAGCGGTACCGGGGATCCGACTCAATTGGGCTGCCGTCACACAGAATGTTTCCCATCGTGGCGGTTTGGACCTGGTTTTGTAATGTAAATTGACAACTAACTGCGCACAAACACAAAACACGGTTTGCAGCGGCGTGCGCGTGAGTGAGCCAAAATGAAGCTTTCACTTCTTATTACAAACACAACAAGGATCGCACTCTCACCTCATACACACAAGGATCGCACTCTCACCTCATATATGTATACACACACACACACACACACACACACACACACACACACACACACACACACACACACACACACACACACACACACACACACACACACACACACACACACACACACACACACACACGCACCTTTTCGTCGAGTCACAACAACCCAACGAGCGAGATCGCGTGTGGTTTGGAGAGGAAGGAAGGCAGGAAGGAGTGCTGCGCCCACAAACACAAGCAAGAATGACTCACACCCTAGATGTAGGCTGAAACCCTACACATGGGAAACGTGTTATTGCTGACTCAGGGATTTCTTAGCGGCTGCTCTTTGTTGCCAACAACAAAACCAACCAATACACACCACACGAACACAAACACACAGCCAAAGGAGACCGCGATGTGCTTGGGAGGGTGTGACTGAGCTGGTGACGGACCTCGAGCAAGAGACACACTTGTACTTGCGATTCTTGTCGCGATTCCCACTGTCCCTGCCGGTGCTTTTGCTGCCACTGTCGCTGCTCCCGTCACTGCAGCTGTTGCTATTGTTGTTGTTGTTGTTGTTGTTGTTGTTGTTGTTGTTGTTGTTGTGAGTATAATTTGTCTTCATCAGCTCATGTCCTGTGCAACCACACACTGCCATGTGCCCTGAACACGCTGCAGTGTTTCTGACGGTGCTGGAGTTCATCTACACGAACCGATGCCAGTTGACACAGAATACGGTGGTGGATGTGCTGGCATCTGCGATTGAGTATGGGTTGGACGGGCTTGCCCAGTGCTGCTCAGACTTTATCAAGGCTCACCTCACCGTCGACACAGCATGCAGCGCCATGCAGGTGTGCGTGTTGTGTGTGTGTGCTCGTACATGAGTGCGCACATGTTGATGTATGCGTCTTCTTTGCTTCCTTTTGATACGTGCGTCATTCCTCCCTCTACTGTCCACCACACGCCACCCACCTTTGCCTCACGCCTCACTCTCTCCACAACCCCCCTTCCCATCTTTTTTTTTTTTTCAGGCGGCCATTGCGTACAACCAAACAGACTTGCGTGACACGTGCATGCGGTTTGTGGAAGACAACACGCGCGCCGTGTTCAAGTCCCGCCACTTTGTCGAGATGTCAGCGGACACATTCGCCTTTATCCTGCAGAGCGACAACCTGCAGATTGACGAGGTGGACGTGCTTGCCTCTGTCAAGGAGTGGGGCACAGTCAACTCTGTGGTGACGGACCAGACGATGGCGGAGGTCCTGCGTGGTGTTGTCGACCATGTGCGCTTCCCGCTGCTCGATGCCGCCACGCTGCAGAAGATTGAGGAGGAGAACGACAAGACGTCCATCATCCCGGTCCGTATCTTGTTGGTGTTTGATTGCTTGTTTGTTTGGTTGTATGTGTGTGTGTGTGTTCTTGTGTGTTTGTGTGTGTGTGTGTGTGTTCTTGTGTGTGTGTGTGTGTATGTGTGAGTGATTTCGCTTGTTAGCAATGATAGTGGAGAGTGCGATGTCTCTTTGTGCATTGGATGTTGCTGTGTCGTCCAATCCGCGTGTGTGTCCAACCACCAACTACTCACCATCATTGCGACCACGGTGACGACAGGTGAGGTTGATTGCAAAAGCGTGGAAGTTCCAGGCGACGAAACGAAGCGATCCCACAGATCCACACTTCCGCCCCCGCGCAGGCACACACACCGCATAGCCCACACGCGCGCACACGCACGCACACGCACTTGCACATGTGCACGTGGAAACAGACACATGTGCACACTTACACACATACACACATACAAGCACCTGCCAGCGTCCCTTCCCCTCGTTTCTGCGCGTTCGCTTGTCCCCTTGTCCATATGAAAACCAAAACCCCTTGCAGCACCTGGGCGTGGTGTTGTTGTTTGTGATTGTGATGTGATGATTGTTCGGGCGTGTTCATATGTGTGCTGCTGCTTGTTGCTGTCGCATTCCTTCTGAGCTATTGCTTGTTTCTTGTTCATTTGTTTGAAACGAAACGTGATTGTATTGTTAGTCAGTGAAGAAACAACACCAGAAAAAAACGTGGAACATATGGTGCGTGTGTTGATTTGAGTGTGCGTGCGTGTGCGTGTGCGTGTGCGTGTGCGTGTGTGTGTGCGTGCGCGCGTGTGTGTCTATGAGCGTGGCTTTGGCTTGACGTTCTCCTCCGTGATTCGACGAATGAAGATGGCGTCGGGCGGGTGGCTGGCGAAAGAGGAGGGGTTGGCGCAGGGACGCGTGAGCTATGGCAACAAGAGCAAGAACAAGAAGAAAAGTTGTCGGAGCAGTGGCAGCAACAACAAAACAACAACAACAGCAGCAACAACAGCAACAACAGCAACAAAACAGCAACAAATGCCACCCCCCCCCAACCAGCACCAGACAGCAACACCATCACAACCAGCACCAGACAGCAACAGCGTCACAACCAGCACCAGACAGCAACAGCGTCACAACCAGCACCAGACAGCAACAGCGTCACAACCACCACCAGACAGCAACACCATCACAACCACCACCAGACAGCAACACCATCACAACCACCACCAGACAGCAACAGCGTCAGCTTACGGCTTGTCGCCCTCCTCATATGTGTACGATGCGGCAATGGCGAGCAGCGACCCGTCGTGGTTGAACGACAGCGACGCAATGCTCGTCGGGTACTCGTGGAACTGACGACGGGCAGTCACGATGGTGGTCGTGGTGGTGGTCGGCGTGGTACCGTGTGTGAATGTGTGTGTGTGAGTGTACATGCGTAGCGAGTAAGCGGTGAACAAGCCGTGCACGCGTCATATCTCCTCCCACACCACCCCCCACTGCAGGTAACATTGCCACCACCACCACCGCCGCCGCCACCACCACTCCACCGGCACCATCACCTGGTACACGCGCTTCCTGTTGACGCCGTCCCACACGTTCACGAGCCCATCGCACCCGCCCGTCGCAAACGTGCCAAAGCTGAACCCACGTGGTGGTGGTGGTGGTGGTGGTGGGAGAAACGAATGGTGAGGTCGCGTTTGCTGCAGAGGCGCCCAGGAAGAGAAAATGCAGAGGAAAACACAATCCCAATCCAGCAGTCCAATACACACACACACAGACACAGACACACAGACAGACACACACCTGACAGACACAGACAGACACACAGACACACACACGCACAGACAGACACACAGACACACACACGCACATACAGACACACAGACACACACACGCACAGACAGACACACAGACACACACACAACACACAGCACAGTGCGCGCACGTTGGGTGGAAGGCGACGGCGTTGACCGGGTAGATGACATCACGCCCGTTCTCCTTCGAGCGGTGGCACTTGAACGCAAACTTGCGCTTCTGCGACGATTCAGACGGGTCGAGATAGTCCACAGCAACACGGCCCTCAATCGACGCGAGCACATACCCTGGGTGTGGTTGGTGGTGTACGAGATGAGAGATGGGTATGATGAGTGTGAGAAGGTTGTTTATGGGTTGTGTGTATGCGTGTGTATGCACGCTTGCATTCATGCGTGCGCGTGAACACACGTTTGTGCGTGTAGGTTCACGTGTGTGCATATGTGTGCATAGATGCGCGCATCACCTTGGGCGTCCGGCATTGCACGGATGCACCGGGTCTGGAATTTCACACTCGACTCTCGTCGCTGCTCCACCGCACTCTGGTGATTGTCAAGTGTTGTGTTGTGTTGTGTTGTGTTGTGTTGTGTGTTGTGTTGTGTTGTGTGTTGTGTTGTGTTGTGTTGTGTTGTGTTGTGTTGTGTTGTGTTGTGTTGTGTGTTGTGTTGTGTTGTGTTGTGTTGTCAAAGTGTTGTGTTGTGTGTTGTGTTGTGTTGTGTTGTGTTGTGTTGTGTGTGTGTGTGTGTGTGCGTTTGCTGGTGAGAAGATGCGTTGGCCGTCCACAGACGCACGCATGGGTCGACAAATTGACAAAAACACAGGAAGATAGAATGACAAACATGCACCCACATGGACGTTCACGCACTTGTGCTTCTCACCATATTGTTGAGGTTCCACACCCACACGTGTCGACCAGCCTGTGTACCCAAAGCAACAAAGCCAAGGGCAGGATCAGTGATGTGACAGCGTGAACGCACACATACGCACAACACACCACACACACACACACACCACACAGCACACACATATATACAACACACACGCAACACAACACACACACACACACGCACATACACAGCACACACCATCCTCCCCTTCATCTACACGCCATCACGATATGTGCTCTGGAACGCACCATGCCGACGATCACGCGGTCATCAGCCAACGCCATCGTGTACACCTGACAGATACCGCGAGGGGGTGAGATGGGCATGTCAACACGAAGCATGAATGCGCACAGGCAACTTGGCGGACATGATGTCGGCGCAGAAGCAGGTACACACGCACAGACGCACAGATGCACACACAAGCACACACACACACACACACACACACACACACACACACACACACACACACACACACACACGCACGCACACGCACGCACACCTCCACCCCCACATGCCTTGTCTGGCTGGGCGTATTCGCCGACGCACTCGAGGGACTCGAGATTCCACAGCTTGATGGTCTTGTCCCAGCTGCCGGTTATGACCACGCCGTGCTTGATCGAGCACTCCACACACTTGATGGCCTCGCTGTGCGACCCGACAACGGAGCTCTTGCCAGTCGTCAAGTCGTACTTGTGCAGCTGTTTGTCAATCCCCGCACTTGGGAAGAAGCAAGCGCGAGCGCGTTGTGTGCGTGCGTGTATGTGTGTGTGTGTGTGTGAATGTGAATGTGTGGGAGTGGAAACACGCGCGTGTGCGTGTGAGTGTGTGAGTGCAAACACGTGTGTGCTGTCACTCGCTGCAAGCTAGTAACATGCTCACGAGCCCTCACGTTCTCGTGTACACACACACACACACAGTACAAGCAAACCGAGCCAACGCGCTGCTGTACTCGGCCCACTATCATGAACATACCCAAAAGCTGTTGTGTCGTCGAGGAAGGCGCAGTCCAGCACCGGTGCATCGTGCGAAAACGTGAACTTGAGCGTGTTGGAGTCCACGTCGTAAAGCCGGCACGTCTAGTGAAAAGTTGGAGAGACAGATACAGAGGACGAAAGGCAGAATAAGGAGGAGGAGGAGGTAGAAACAGGAGCACACCGTTGGTTTGGTGCTACAGCATGCAGGAGGAGGAGGAGGATGGATGGAGGAGGAGGAGGAGGAGGAGGAGGAGGAG